ACTGGAGTGTTCACTACAGGAATTGTTTTAGACCGCCTTGCATGTTGGTCCTCAATCAGATACGAATCTAAGGATCTGAGATAGGAAATTGAATTTTAGAGAATTGGTCTCGCTGAGGCCGCATGTCTTGAGAGGACAGGCCTTGAGTTGAGTCGTGAGATAGCTATAACGAGAGTGAGCTGCCAGCATGTTCTAGGGCGTCCTGATTGAGTATTTCTGATTTTCAGTTGATGGATGTGCTTTTCTCCCATAGGACCCTTTATTAACATGTTATGTTACGTTTAGCTAACAGGGGATCGTGAACAAAAACTAAACTTCTGATGCAAGATGCTACTGTCCTGGGACTATAGAGTGGAATTAGCGGAAGACAAAGTTCAGATAAGCAATGTCTCATGTTTCGTCGCTAATGGAACAGGCACAAGTGTAAGATGTTATCGTCTCATTCATTACTGAGATGAACTGTACAGCACGTGTAATGACGTCAGCTCCAATTGGTAGCCACACTGACCTTAGTTGCTATTGAGTGTAAACAACATTCGGAATCTTGACACAGCGGAATGATGACACGCACTTTGACTCTGTCCAAAGCCTTATCTGTGTCCGGTGCAAGTTTGGGTTGAGGGGTGATCCCTGTAGTTAGTAAACCGTCAGTAAGGTTCCCGAGGACAGTGATACATTCTATTGATGGATACATCAGATCGCATTGAGTGACAAGTAGGCCATCACCTAATTAATACATTGAGATACCTTTTAATGTCTTTGACATCTCTGTGTTTCCAGGGAATGAGCCTGAGTTCGTCCCAAGTCTGAACATTCTAAAGATTGTGCCAGGAACTTGACAAGTTTCACCCTGACCTTAGTTGACTTCCTGAAAGTTTATGTTAAATGCCATAGCCTTCTCCATTTGCATAATAGGAGGAAACGTGTATGTCCATTGCGCTCGGCAGCTTTGCGACTCGCAAAATCAGATGATATGTTACCTGAGCCCCTACGATGACGCACGGAGACCTGGTACCTACACACACTTATGACATGTTTAATTCTTTTACATACAATGCATACATTGGTTTGTGACTGAATCATATAGGGGCTGAAATGCCGAGTTGCTTCTGCTATTGACAAAGCTTCTATTTCACATGGGATTTAAGTGTCTTGATGACCACGCAGTAACCCTGCCAACAACAGCTTGCCTGCTCGCATCACACTTTGGGTAGGCCCAAGACCATGACTGATCCATCTCGGACGATCCAAGTTGATCACAAGGTCATGGTAATGTGATGACTTGATTTACGCGCCTTTCGTGCGTAATGGAAACAGTGCAGATGCGCATCTGTCCATAGAAGTTTAACCTTGGAGTATCTACCTCTAAAGGTATCTACCTCGACACAGCCATATCCAATCCTGTAATATTGCAGAATTAATGTATTGGAGACTAAAGGTTTTTGTCTAAAGCTGATAACGCTTTTGAGAAGTTAGCGTATAAGCTGTCCAAATAGTTCAAGTTGATATATGAACATTAGTTACACAACACTATACTCTTGCAATTGATCGCTCAACACCCGACAGAAGCTCTTCCCCGATCCAAGCATACAAATGTACCCATGGCATATCTTACATATACCCTTACCCCTTTGACTTGGGATACTACTCCACAGTATTTCAAATATGTGTATCTAGTTGAATCTGATGGTAAGCTTTTAGGCCTGTGGTAATCATGCCCACTTTTGCCATTAACACTTGATGGATAAGGCTTGTATTGGCCTACATTTGCAAACGCAGTGACCAGTCAAACACCTCCATTGTTTTGCTTCACCATTTAGAAAGTGGAAGTCGCAATGGCTTAGCGGGTTAGGCGGCTGACTCGACCCAAGAAAAAGTACTCTATACTTTACTAAGAAAGTGTAATCCCAAATATAACATATGTTACAAGAATGGGTGTGTGGTGTGTGTGAGATATTCTACAGTTATAGCTGCACCATCTGGACCTACAAACACTCCACTCTCTTCAAGCTCATCTTTTTTTGCAATTCACGGAGCTTGTTCCTGACTCTTTAGGCTTAAGATTCTGCAATTTGGATTGTCGTACCTGTACGCGTTGTGTGGAAGCAGCTTGACCTTGAGTGCTCATATCATCCGTGACATGAGGTGTTGAATATCAGACACTCATTAGTTCTTCAAGGACGTCCTTGCTGTTGTATTCATCTAATAAGCCACAATCGGATGCCTGACAGGTCTGTGATTACCTAAGCGAGGGTTTTGAGCACGGTTCTGGTCAATACCTTTACTTGACCAGTTTTGGTAAGTCTGTATGAATAAACTAGACCACAGATCTTCTACAATTTCAACTTATGGTGAAATATTCCTCCATTATGGCGGAACCTGTTGTGACAATAAAAGCTTATAGACCCTGATACAAATCCTCAGGGCGTTCATCAAGTTGCAGACGAATGTCAGAAAGATCTAGAAAGTAACCTCATGTTGATTAAAGGTCAAAATTATGGCGAATAACTTGCCCAGTGCTTGTCACTGAAGTGCTGTTGGGCAACAATTTGCAGTCTGACCTAACATTAGTTCTAGCATGCTGACCTTTTACTGAACCGACCGCCGTTGTTGCCTTGGCACATCTTCACCATCGTCTTCAAATCTCAGCATGGGGTATTTACAAGAACGTTTCCGCCAAGTGACACCATCTATGAGAGGTGGGGTGAAATTAGGGTCGTATACAATACGTTGTGTCTCCGGTTGTCGAAAGTATTAACTGTTCTGTTTTAGACATCGTTGTGGATATGTCAGTAATCACCCACTGTTTGAATGCCTGGTCTGTCACAAATATACGCGAAATATCAACACGTTCCGGATATATGGCGGTCTCGTCGGAGTCGTACGTAATCCCGCTGACACCACGCCAGAATGACACAAACCAGTGACGATAATTTGCTGTTTAAGAACAAGCACACAGGTAGTACCCACGAGAGACAACAGAAAGATGGCGTCTGGAAACGGTACATATCCTAACGGGCGGAAAACGAATTACGTGCATTTGTGTCCTTGTCAGTTAATGTAACGTCTGCTATTCTGAGGAGAATACGAGGTGTTCTATTTGTTCAGCTACACAGTTCACTAAATTATAGACATTTTAATGTTCAGATTTACAGAAAGGTTTACTGAGTTGAAGACAATCACAGAAAAATGAAATTGTATCCTACGTGGAAACCGGTAATCACCCGGAATCATTCCAGCAAGTTTCTTCTAAATTATTGGAAAACTCTTCCAATTAGCATGTTCTCTGTATAATAAATCTTTGCTATTTGATTCATGAGGCTTATATGAATGTTAAAAAATATAAGTAAAGTAATAGTCCTTATTAAGTGTGCCCCGTGTTTGGTAGAGTCGTGATCGAATAGAAATATATCGTGTATACTGATGTATGCCTTATATCAGAAAGTAAATACTATGAAACCTGTATATTATCACCTATATTTATGCTTCATATGTAGTTGTTGAAGTTTGTTTTCATGTAATAGTGAAAGGTCACTGCATTCACGCTTTGAATGTGTAGAGCCGATGAGACTTTCCTTTGAATCGCAACAGTGACATTTTCCTGACTGTATCGATTTATAAAATACAAAAATACAAGAAGCGGGACGCTATTGTTATGCGCCACAAGGACTCTCTAAGAATCTGTGCCATCGCATGAGCTATTTTAAACTTGAAATGAAATGACATGTGAAATGTGTAACTGTCACATTCTTTATACAAATCACGAGAGATGAAGATTGTCATTGCAAAACAATCTCTCCAATAAAGAGAAATATAACCTCTTTGCACAAAACCATAAACTCGCACAAACACGCACGAACGCACATATATATTTGGTGGTACTGAAGAGTAAATTTGCTTTTGAGGGCACTGGAGCTCGGCACAAGTATGATGGATGAACATATTTTTCCATGTCTGACATGCCACAGTACGTAATGCCGACTCTATATAAAGTGGCTACTGAAACATTACCAAAGAGGCAAGAGTTGCATGAAAAGAAGCCTCTTGGTGATTAACGAGATTTAACGGTGTCTCGTGAGACTTGAGTCGACATAAACTTGAACGATTGAGATGGAGGCCTTATAGAGTAACGACAAAGCCCTCTCGTCCTCAGCTTAGAAATTGCGAAGCCCGTTTTTTGCAACATTTCTCTTCGTCGAAAGGATCAGTGTCACCTTCCTTGCAATCTTAAACAAGGTTCATTTTTTCTTCGATAGAGTTCCTGCAGTAATTTTGCTCATACACTGAATTTGAGAGTTTATACAGTGACACTTAAGTGTCTGTAAGAGGCACTCTATGTCAACTTTGTATTTCAATTTATTTTCATTTATATGACTTCTTTGTTGCCATTGCTGATAAGCACACGGAAAGTAAATTTTAGTTAAGCTTAGCCAAATTGGTCTCTTAATATTTTCTCACTTTAATTCTTGCACAAATCTTAGCCAAATTGGTTTCTTAATATTTTCTCACTTTAATTCTTACACAATTCAGTATTGTAAAAGGCAGTCCAATGTACGCGGATAATGTATTTAATGGTTTTAATTCTCATAAATTGAATTAATGTTAATAACCAGATAAATAAAAATCCAAAATGTATTGTTTGCATACGGGTCTGAAACAATTTAATGTCTAAGTTTGTGTCCACAGCGTCACTGGAACTGTCGTGAGTCGAGTGTCTCTTGAGACACATCTAAATTCACTCTGTAATATAAAGCATTCCGGACGTGAATCATCGACTAAAACTAAATTATATCAATCGAAAGATGAACTAATGCCCGCCGTATATGTTTCACGTGTTGCTTCTGTGAAATGCGTTTGTGAATATCGGCTCAGATTGTTTAGACGTTACTGTGATGAAATGATGAAATGACACATATGTCAATGGCACGATTTATACTGAAGATGAAACAAACCAACGTATAGAAAGTATGGTGTTGTAATTCAGTGTTTCATTTCTAATTGTTGAAAATACTATTTACGATATATTTGTAACATATGCCTCTATCTGCCCCAGAAGTAACTTCTATACTTATCACTGTCGTAATTACCTGCTGCAACAAGTGACACAGAGTGCAGTTTCGCATCTATTTTGAAACTAAGATCAAATCATTTTTCTTTGACAAGAATAATATTCTGAAGACAGAGAAAATCGTTTTTGCTGTCAATGCAACTTCATATACTAAGTCGACAGAAGCGCCGCAATTCGCTGTGAAGAGTTGTGACCCTTCGGCATGCAAGGAACCAGTTATCGAGGGTTTAGACTCGTCCTAGTTTTGTCATGAGCATACCATTGCTCACGGGCTTCAGTGATATACATCTAAGGGCTGTTTAACGTCGGATATTTTTCAACATTTAGCTCACATAATCGTCATCATGTTATGACTGGTAAAGACACAGGTATTTCCAGGCGGTTTGTGAGTAGCCTAAACATTGCTGGCAGCAGCGTAGATAGAACTACTTCATTTTCATATATGATTGGACCTTTTAGGTTCCGAATAATCATACTTCGGTATTCAATCGAACATATTACCAAAGTCCGTCGAGATTACTCTGTGACAATGCGTCCCTGATATGGCCTCACTACATAAGAGACGTCGAAAATTGTAAATCAAGAAGACATCTTCTGTCATGCTACCAAGAGCAGTGCAGATGAACGTAAATAGCATCACGCAAAAAAACCTATGAATAAGATGAAGCATAGCCATCTTTCATGTACAAAATCTTAAATGTCAGAGATGTTGAACGTACGAGTTATCAGAGATAAAACGAAGGTCCAAAGAAAGATGATATAGCTTTGCATCAAATTTCTTTGAGGGTGTTTTTATTCAGCAACAAGTCAACCTGACCCTTGAGATGAGATATACGACTTTAATACGTTCGTGGATAAATACGTGCGTCATGCGTATCAAATAGTGCAGGGTTCATATCAATCGTGTTCTGTCTTACAAATTAAACTGTAAACGAAACATGAACTCGTAGATTTGCTTAAGATCATGTAGATAGGAAATAGGATCTTCAAGAAAACCACAATTGATCAATGACAAGTTGTTAAGCACAGAGTCGTTTCTGGCTGGACTGCAATGTTGTTTCCAATACACAGATGTGCCCCGTGATGGTAGAATTGTTTTTTTCCTCTTTTCAAGGAAACTTATTAACAACTTGATCAATGTCTCTGCTATCTAAACATGTGCATGTAATTTGTTTCATTTCATTTGTCGCTGCATGTTCCTTCACTTTGCGATACTTAGACAAGGTGTTTTCCCAGGCTAATCTGAATATCTAAATGTTTGCCCAATGATAAATTCTTATATAATACTTATTCCAGTGTTGAAACCGAGTTGCCGTCTCCATCAATCTGCAATACAGACTGCTGAGACAAAGGTTCTCCCCCGGGCATCACTTGTAACTACAAGGTGATAATACGTTAAACCTTTCCATTCAAAGCAACATAACACTTGTTGTGGAATGTGGAAATGGGACTCTTGAAATATGTGTTGTCCAGTAACAGTTGTTCTTAAGAACTGTATTCACAATCATTTTGAACTATGACTTAAGGGTGAGAATGCTCACTTCAACTAGGGTATTAGAGTGATAATGTTCAATATAGAGTGGGGGAGTTGTGCAATTGTAATCAGTATTCAACAGTAACATATGTTATTTTTGGAAATTACCCTTTCTTAGTTTAGCACAGATTTTAGTTCTTTTTTTGAGTTGAGTCCCATCCGGGTTTCGAACCCACACCCTCAGAGTCAGGCACCTAATCGCCAACACACAAAGTCAGCCGCCTAACCCGCTTAGCCACCGCGACGTCCCGGATGGGACTAAACCCATCAAAAGTACCAGAATCTGTACTATATTAAGAAAGTGTAATCCCAAATATAACATATGTTACATTTGATCACTTTCTAAATGACATTGTGTAATCATAATCAGTATTCAGCCTCACGAGAAAGGAGACGTAGACGCTGACGGTCAGGTCGAAGACGTTCACCAACGACGGTGCTGACAGACCCAGGATTATGGTTATTACAAATCAAATCTCAACTGCTCCTGGAGAGACAGAGCGGTGCCCCTGGCAAAGCGCACTGTTGAGATCCTGTCAAATCACAATGAGAGGGTGACCTACACTCTTTTTTCGCCACACCATCTGCAACATGTAACAAAGCAGATTTGTACTCTACAACGTGGCAAGGAAGAATGACAATACATGGATTACAGAAGTTACAACGTGGCAGATTATAAATATACAAAAATAACAAGAAGAAAAAAAGTTGAATCTGAATTTAAGTTGGACAAAAGAACAACAAAAACACACCATTACAAGAAAACAACGTACAATCCTCGTCAGTGCTTTGGTATGGTCATTGTCTGGCGTCACGCACAAAAACGACATCAGCTTAAATTAAACCGAAAAAGATTTGCCTCAGCTAGCATTTTTTAAGCTTCAAAGAAGCTTGTTTCCTTGGTAACCATAAAAATTTGCAATTATATCAAGCACGTAAAGTGACGTAAAGACATAACACTTGGTTGAAACCATAGCTCCAGGTTTAGAACGGGCCAGCTGAATACACAGGAACTGCTTCAGGAAACGGATTGATGGAAAGAATGAACTAGATGCTACTTTTTCATTAGAGCCAGTTTGGACATGATCAATATATAACGATGTGTTAAGCTGGGTTTATTTATAATTAATGAAATCTTTTCTAAGAATGATTCACTGATTCACATATTAACACTAAAGAAAGATGTTACAAATAGGTTAACATATGATAACTCTCTTTCTCTCTCACTGTCTCACTACCTTTACACATGACCATGAAAGTTACGAGATGGTCATCACTAAAAGTGTAGTTAAGACGGAAATTGAGATCGCTAGTTCAGATTTAGTTTCAATTCATCCACATTATCCGTATGTCCATATGTCAAACAAACTATCTAATGCGTAAACATGGTTCACATGGACAGTTGGTCTAAAGCATGTCCTTTACATGGTACCCACAGGCTTGACTTTCTATACACATTGATAGATGCAAAAAGTAAACATACTGTTTATGATGAAATATGTGTAAAACGGATTTTCAAAAATTTAATTGATTTGAAAAGTAAATTAGTGAAAAATCGGAAACACTAAACTATTAGAAGTATTCTCCACGTTAATACAAATGCTTGATAATAATTCCGTATTGTGACCTAAAAGCGGCGTAAAACCATACTCATCCACCTTATTGTGCCCAGGGGATCGTCTTGCATGCATGGACCGATAGCCCGTAAACCCCACTTTCAAGTGGCGAGATGGCTGTTTGCCATGAAAAGTGGATCAGAGAGGTAGGGCTGATCAAAGAAGCCAGTGTAGTTGGAAAATAAACATACGAGACTGTCGTGGAAGGCCGCGGGAAGACGTACGTGTACCAAGACGGTGCTTAATTAAATTTAGCCCCCAGCAGGAGGAGATCTTTCCCTGTTCAAGCCTCCGATACATCAGCTACACTCCAGAATCCAGCTTCACCCTTGTACTTCCCATGGCATTGCAATGTAGGACTGTTTTGTAGCGCGATCTATAGAGAACGGTGTCAGCTTCTGCAGGCATATCCTGCCCGGCTGTCCGAGTGTCCAGATTACCAAGACCCTGACACCGAGCTCTGTAACGTAGTTAGACCTTGCAATATTGCACCAAGTGAATGGATCTACACAGGAGCTACCTTCGAGTGTATGCAAGCTATATCACGTCGTAGATGTTTGCCAATTTAGTAAAACCCGAGAGTTTCTAGGACTTCAGTCCTGCCCCACAACGAAGCACATACATGTGGTCTCACCTTAGGCAAGTGAGTATGTTCAAAATTGCGTCTGTTCACTCAGCAGAAAATGGGCACCTGGTGAAATAAGTCGTGAGACAACCTTCTAGCGACTAACAGGCAGCTTGGATTATCTGGGGTAATAATGATCAGATTTGAGAAGGATATCTAGCCTGGAAAAGGCGCGTTACAAATATTCTCGTTATTAGAAAACCTATGGACATTATATGATGCTTGTGGACCAACGTTGTTATCAGATTCGAACAATATAGCAGATCCATGCATATAATAGGACTCAAGTCGGCAGAAAATGACATTAGTTGGTGGTAGAGACGTGCTCACTCTCTCAACCATACCGGTGTCTGCACATGACGCAGACCTTTAGGTTTCAAACTATGCTCATGTGGTAGACGTTTTTTGTCCTTTGATGTTCACCGATCTGGTCTTGCACCTGATTGGTGTTTGTTTATCAATATATCTTGCGCACTGTATTACTTGTAAGAAGTATGCATTAGAGCTGTTCCAGTCAAAAGATCTCTTAAGAGTGTACTATATATTTTGTTGTGCATCGCATAAATTGAGTGTTTAGTTAATACGTTGTTTGAAAGATCATAACCAACTGTTATGCTCGAAGTGTGGTGCAGCATTTGTTGAAGATGAATTTCAGTTCCTTCTGTTATGTCCTTATTATAAGACATGTAGAGAACTTTTTGTACAACAATATTATAACAATCCATCCCATGATAAATTTGTCTCATTAATGTCAACAACATATTCTGTTCGTATGAAGAAGACATCATTGTTTCTCATAAGAAATGCTTCATGTTAAGTAGTCTTGCATTGTAGATCAATATATCTTGCGCACTGTGTGATGATTTTAGTATCCTAGGTAGCACTATGGGCCAATGATGAGGACTCGAGTAACTAATCAACTGAGTGAATAGTGATCAATCAGGATTAATTACATTCACCTATATGAGTAGGTATTCATCTACATTTAACCATTTTCAAAACGACACTTTTCACTTTACAGATGTATATTAATAATTTAAAAAATGTTCATTGGAATAGAACTTAAGGGAATGGTAATTTGGCAATAGCATCAGTCCCAGCAATGGCAGGGGTACAGATGGGTCAAGTTTATACCAACTGCTAGAGGTGGTAGGTTTTTAGGTGTAGGGGGATTTATGTTCAGACTGAACAAGAGGAAACGAGTACATCCAAATGTCAACTGAGTCAAGACTAACAGTATGCAGCCGGAGGCAAACCACCCTCAGAGAGGAGGAAATATGTCCGGTTGGATGAGACACTACTAACTCTGAAACGTCGACTTCAGAATGACGAAATTACACTCATGGACTATACGGATTCTGCTTCTTTCAATCTTAAGTTGTGCTAGCTTGTATGTGTCATGTGACATTTTAATTGTACAAGATTGTTTATATGTAAATATATGTACAGTCAACTCTCGTTAATCCGACACTTGTGGTTGCAGAGAAATATGTCGGATTAACGAAAATGTCGGATTAATGAAAATGTCGGATTAATGTATTGGCGTGAAAATATCAATGTTTACTAAATGTCATGATCGTCATACTGTTGCATGCATATCAGAAATGGTAGATCTAGTTATCGTCATCGTATGTAAAAATATTCACAGAAATAAAACATACTAACAATACATACTTGTTTTCATTTATGTATAAAGTTTATCAGTTCTTTCTGTTTTCATGTACCAGTCGATAAGCAGGTAGACCGACACACCTACTGAGCTGATCACTCAGGCATATAATCCGGGTTATCCGGATTAGCTGACAGAACAAAAACATAATTAAAACTGGCTTAACACTACTAGTCAAATGCACATGACACAGACCTAATTTTTCCCTCGAAAAGCTAGAAGATCTGCTTCATGTGCATAAACCACCATATAAAATGTTCAATTATAATATATCAATGCATTCATACAGTCATCTGAGTGCTGGCACTAATGGTTCCTCCAACCATAGATATCTAGCTGTCTAGTCTCTGTTCCATCTGCCCGTCAACACATCTATATCCCTTCTCCCCAAATGACATTAATTTGTCTCCGCCAATCACACAAGGGCTGACCTTTATCTCGTCTCCCGAGACTATCTCTGTTAGTCCCTTGTTTGGAGTTAATCAATCCTGCTCGGTGATGACAGGGGAGAGAGTTGACAACCTACCCTATAGACCTTATGCTATTGATTTCTATACACCACGCTACACTCCGCCTTTGATGTATCCCTGTTGTGGAGCCTGTCAACGCTCAGATCCAGCGATTGTAATTATTTTACATGAACCTCTGCTTGATTGGACTCGGAGTTGACTCGCCAGCAGTCGCCCCGCTAGACAAGGGTTTCTAAATGCAGTGGAATAAACATAGCAAATCCCAAACATAGTTGCAGACAAAATGTAACGATGGCATTGTTTGGCCAAAGTTTCCTTGGAGATTTGACAGTCTCCCGCTGAACCTACATACGCGTTTAACCTGTATAACATGTAATTAGCCAGTGTCCGCGAGCAAGTCTTCCACTCAAGTATCTAGAAATAAACATCTGGATCATGAGGAGGAGAGTAATTGCTTCATTGATTGTCTTGATTAAAAACTATTTGTGTGTCTTTCTGTCTGTCTGTTGTTAAAGCTTGTTTGACATAATGCTTCTTGCGTGCCCTGTCATCACTAATGAGTGAGTGAGGGAGTGAATAATGTCGGGTGCTGCGCCAATTACCACCAAGAAAGATAGCACAGAGGCCATCCACTGGAGTATTTGTCTGGGAACAAATGTCCGTTTGCAAACTACGTTCGTGACATTTAAATGTGTTCTTAGGTGGACATCTTTGATCCATCCGGGATTCGAACCCATACTTTCAGAGTGAGGCACTTAATCGCCAACACACAAAGTCAGCGATCTTTGTGCCAACGTGGCTTCCACGAAAAATCTGACAACTTGTAGTTTCATGTACTTTGGGTACCCCTCTGACAAGTGTAAATGGGCCCGACTCACAATGCCGAAGCTTTGAAGACATTTTTGTTGAGGCCGCGGTGTCTTAGTGGATTAGTGTGCAGGCAATTAAATGCCTCACTCTGTGAATGTGGGTTCGAATCCCGAACAGAAGTACAATCCCCAATATAACACATACATAATAGTTTAGTCATCATATGAAGGAAGAAATATGTGTACTTCTTTGGTGACACAGGGGCGGTGGGGTAGCCCAGTGGTTAAAGCGTTCGCTCGTCAAGCCTAAGACCCGGGTTCGATTCCCCACATGACTCAGTATTCCAATTTTGGGCACACACAACAAAATACGTACCGTTAGACGCTCTACCCTCGGCACCAACCACACCCCCTCACACACCTGCATCGGTGCAAGTTCTCAACAACTTCATGTTCATGTGAAGGATTGTATGAGACGTTATGTCAAAGTACACACACACTGCACACAAACTATTATAAATTATGTCCAATCAAATCCTATGTCAATAAATCTACTGATGTCTGCAGAATACTGGAGATAACGATGTAATCAAGTAGATCAGTCTGCCCATGTTAGGATGACACGCCGTAATATGTCTGAAAGAATGTTCACTCGCGCTCGCTCATTACGCACGTACTGAATCTTGGGAGAGATGTGATTGTGTTTAACTGTGTCCAGCGTAAACCCGAGTGACCCCATCGATACTACAGAGTGCCCAATGGCTAACATACTAAAAGAGAAAATGACATGGCATTATTAAGTGTCTGATTCCTCGAGGACATAACGTGATTACCATCAGAATGTTATTGCCAGTGTCAATCAGTGAACTAGGTCGTCTTCCTGTCTCACTGGCTTGTTGTTTTATCTGTCCGCGTTTTACATATCTTTTTATATTGAATAGTCATCCACCCGTTCAGTTGCTCTGCCGGTCATTTCATTGTGTCTCAATATATACCCTCTATTAGCCAGTGTATTCAAATAAATGGAAATCTGTAAGTGACTGAGTACCAAGACTGATTGAATTTAATACGTCACCTTGCCTTTTGCTTTTAGTTGGCAACCGTGCTTTTGCTCGCAGTAGTCTACCTTGGCCATTTTGGAAGATCTGATCAGTCCTGTTTGGGATATACCACGATGCCTTTGCTTGGAACACGCCTTTGCTTTAAGTAGGCAGCCATGCCTTTGAACGGCACGACGCTAAAATAGACGTCTAATACATGCTTCGACATTATCAGCGTCCGACTTCACTGTTTCGTGTCGTCTCATAACCCACAATTGTAACAAAATTACTTCACTCCATCTGTCTTGGTTCTCAAACATCTAAAGCTACATTAGATAAAGTCTTCGATTAATATATCAATGCGCGCTGGGACAAAACCGAAGTTCGAGTGTAGATCGATGCTGAAGTCACGTTTAGAATATGCATTGGCTGTTCATGAACTTGAGGATGTGCGAGAGTGATCAGAGAGATGCAACTGGTAATATTTCACTTCCGTAAAGGCGCAACGTCTTTTTCAAGATTGTTCTGCCGTTATAGCGACTTGCTGGCATGCATGTGTTGGACAGCTTGTACAAGTCCTGTATTATACGAGGTACCTGTCCACTGAGTCGAAAGACAAAAATAACTGTAATTAAAATTTGGGCACAAAAAGTACTACTATTATCTTACTTACCATTTTGACTCAGTCAACGGCGAAAGACAAAAGACTAAAGTGTGTGGTTTGGCCTGCAAGCGGACAATTGTTGCTTTCATCTGCTGTCATTTCAAGTCAACCCTCAACGCTATCTTTTTCTCGAAGCTGTGTCAGCCCTTCTACTCTTTTGCTTCGTTCATTTCTTCGGCGTTTTCTGCTGTTCTATTGCCGGTCTGTCTTGATGTATCTTCACTCGAATGCATGTGAAGGACATGGACGCTTGTGTTTCATGCTCTACACCTTGACGAGCGCATATCGTGTTCTTGTTGGGTTCACTTTACAACGGTTACTTGACAAAGTGCGTGCGTCATTACTGACTGGAAATAGTATCGAGGATCAGGACAGCTAGAATCTAAACCCTCACGTTGTTTGGTGATCACACATGTCCGCTACTTGGCCAACGCGCCGGGAATGATGGGTTGTTGAGCAACATAATATGTTTCTGTTTACATCCTTTGTGTCTTTCACCAAACTATGCATCATGAACGTGTTAGATCTGAGACGGAATGGTGGTCCAGTGGATAGAGAACATGGTCGGAGAGCGGAAGATCGGGATCGAGCTCGACGCCCGGAGGGGTCCGACCAGAATATATTAAAATATGGCACCTGGTGTTATCCTTGGCATTAAGGGAAATATGATCAAGGGCTGGACGACTGGGAGTATGGGAGGCGTATTGATGCCAAATGTCGGCATTCAGTAATGCCGACATTACTCTTGAATAGTTTAACTTAACACACACACGCACGCACGCATGCATGCATACACACGCACACGTCAGACACAGGCCAAAACACAAACGTGCATGCCTCTTGCTGTTAAAGTGTAATGATCTAGAACGCGACGTTAGGCCCTATTTTATCTCACCTTAGAGACAAACAGATGACGTTTCTACCAGACTGATTGTTCCTGGGTCTAAGAACATCCTGTATTTCTATCAGGCGAAGTCACTGACTTGGCTGACCCTTGTAATATGACCCTTGGACAGCCATTGTGAATAGACAGATGTGTAGATTGGGATAATGGGCTAGAGTAATACATCCTTCAAGGCGGTAGGAGCAAAAGACATTTATTCTAATTTGAGCCATGTACATAACACGGGTCATGGCCATTGTTCGTGACCCTTTTCGCAAACACCTGGTGTCATTCATGAATTTCATTCACCGCCTTGCCTTTTACACCAAAAGGATTCAGTTTCAGCAGAAAATGGAAATTATATTTAAATGCCGTGAAATAAGCAGTGAATGCTTTTTTTATGCTAGCAAGATTAAAAGACATTTGAGTGACATTAAAATTAAGTAAATATAAGCCTGTTTGTTTGTAGGTTTAATGCAAAAGTCAACTATATTACAGCTGCACAAGTCTGGACCAGATAATCCAGTTATTGACATCACAGGATACTATGACAGAGCATGTGTTTATGAATCACTGTCAACAGTACCATAAAGATTTTGAAAATTATACTTGGCCTTGAATGTTGTTACTTTGATCGAACAACTTCTGAGCAGGAATCGTATTATCGATAAACCCGATCATCTTGTCATCAGTACGCAATCTGCAAATGAATGAATACCAAAATCGTAAGAAATCTGAACTAACAGGAGACTCATTTGTCCTCTTCCCTCAGCATTACGATTCAGTATCATGCCAAATGGGCCAAGTTGTACACAGGGCTGCAATAGTCACAGATGCTGACAACCTGAGTCAGTCAGTGAGACTTGGGCGTGAGGACCAAAGGAAATATGTACAGACATTCCTGACCACCTCTCGCAAATATTCCGGAAGGGACCATTCTATGAAAATTATCAACAAAACCGAGATTATTAAGACTTAGTTGCAACTACTATGCATTAATTAAACGGGGTGCGTCTTAGTAGTATCGAGCTAGGATTTCTAACTTATAACAACAATAATGAGAGATGTCTTTGTAAACATATGTCCAAATTGCACGATTAACAGATCAGCAAAATACTCAATATTGACAACACTCTAATCCCCGGAAGCCAGTTGACATGTCACCCAGAACAGAACAGGTCTGTGCATTTTTAAACGAATAAATAACTTTTTACCACGAATAAATAACTCCAATGTTAGTTTACAGTGCCACGACGGGGGCTGGGCAAACACGACTAACATTATGGATGTATTAGATAAGACCTCTATAGATTGTCTTCTTCCATGTAACTCACCCGGCGCCAATGGAAGCTGTGAAGCAGGAAGCGTCATTA